AATCTGAGTATTGTGGGGTAAGAACAAGGAAGTAGTTCACTAAACAAAACGGTATTGTAATCATTTTAAAAATTGCTTTAAAAAGTAGCACCCAGCAGATTAAACATTTTCAGTGGTAAATGTTTCAGCTGTAAATGCATATGCTGAAAGACTTATGGAAGTCTTTCAACTTTATCTATTTGAGACCACTGCTGATTTACTCAGAGAAGGGCAGCCCCACAGGGCACCTATACAGCATAACATTTTCACTAGGGAAAAGTCAACAGACAGAGAAGGATGTAATCCCTTAATATTTCACGCTGGGAAATAGCACAATTTTTTTTGCAAGCATATTCTCATAACTACCACAACTAAGGAGCTTGCTTAACCCACAGCAAACAGCCCCACTTTTTCTGCCTAGATTACTTGGAAATATTCAACAAAATGCGTTAATATTTAGGAAATTAAATAAAAGGGTGGGGAAATATTTTTTTTCAACTGTCCTTTCCCTCTGCCTCCAGTTATAATTTAGGATTTTAAAGCAGTACTTTTTTTTTTCTTCAAGAGCATAGCTGAACAAAACATTAGACCAAGAAGCAGACGTAGGCTTTTTTTTTTTTTTTTTTAACTTCTTTCTACACCTCATTCATAATTACATCAGCTTCAGGCTCCCCACCTGCCTGGTTTCCATAGCAATTACACAAAGGCATACAATGACATCAGCTGGCATGACATCAGCTCTTTGAGTGCAAACAATACAAGAAGAACTACTTTGTTTAAGGCCTTTGGTACAACTGTGTTCTTGAGAGCCAATGATGTAATGCTAACAGGTGGCTCAGGCCTGCTTTTGCCTAGCAGAGAGAGAGATACAATGCTCTCTCTTCTGTCTGCTTATAAGATTATATGTTTATGTTTTACTAAAGCCATACGGAGCAACATACCATATTTTGAAACAATCAGCATGTTTAGATTCAAATGCACTTAGATAAATGTGAGCCAATGAAAAATAAAATTTCAGAGCGAAAAATATGCAAAGTTTATGAGAAAGAGCTGTGCTAGCCAAAATAAATATTTAACGTGTCATCATCCTGCTAAGGTTATTGCTTTTTTAAAAAAGCTATTTGTCTACTTAATGCTCAGAAAACACTTTTGTAATTCTCTACTGAGGAAAGTTTTAAAATATAGAAGCCCAAGCATACAGTTATGTAGGCTTTGGATCAGATCCATAAGATTTATGTACCTAAAAGTTAGATACCCCAATGCCTAGCATTTAGGTACTTGGCTTCCAGAGAGGAATCCAGGAATATAGATACTGGAAAAAGAGCTGATGCCAAACACACATCTCCCAGGACCGTGCTCTAACCACCAAACTCTACATTGTTCTCCTGAAACAATCCAGCACAGGTGAGGTCTTGAAGTCCCTAAATCTCTAAACTAAAGGTAAAGATAGAGCAAGAATCACTATTCTGTTCTAAACCTTTCAGTTCTAGAAAAGATTGGGAGGGAAGGCACTAGACAAGAGAATCATGGGTTTGAAACCAAATATTTGCATCTAAACTTTCCACCCTTAGGTTGGATTCAAATTCTTCTTAATCCATGTAAGACAGTGGGTCTTAACCTTGTTAGACTCAAGGCACCCCTCAGAAAATGCCATCTCTTAACTTTAACTCTTTTTTTACTACTACGACTACTAAAGTAACTCAGAATAAAGAACTCAGAAAAACCACAACAGGTCAGAATGTTTTTGACAATATGGATTCTTATTTGAAATCTCTGGGTTTACCCTGTGAATCAAGGTGTAGGTGTTTGTACAATTATCATTCTTAATATCTTGAGGCACCCCACGGCATCCTTAAAAGTACCCCAGGGTGCCAGAGCACCCTGGTTGCAAGCTACCTTGGCCAAAAGGATGCAAGTCTCACAAGTGGTTACACCAACTGGATTATAACCCAACCTGAAATCCCATCTCATTAGCAATTCTCTATTTTCAGGTTTCGGGGTCAGTATAGACAAGTAATTGATTAAAAAGAGCATTTAGCAATAGCAGCTAAAACATGGTAGGCCCTTTCCAATCATGACTCCAAAGAACATGGAATCTTAACACAACTGAAAAATGCTCTAAGGATTTGTGTGTGACATTTCCTTTCGTTTTTAAAGTAGATGTAGGTTGAGGCAGAAGCCCATTGCCTTTACTGTTCAAAAGCAGGGCTGTTAATGCAAGTGGTGGATACTGGGATGATGGAACAGAGGGAAGGTGTGAGATGTGGTGAAGAGCTACAAGGGAGTTCTGGAGAAGACTTCCCACTCTACCCTCATTCCCTACCCACCAAGTTGTGTTCCCTCCTTCTGATCCCCTGACCTTCCTTGCTGGTAGGGACATTCTGGGTCAGCCAGCAGCTGTTAGGGCCACCTCTTCCTCCTGCTCTATGTTGGTGTGGATCCAGCAGGTAGAAGCAGATAGTAGAGGATCAATGACAACTTCATTGTCTGAAATTCCTGCCACAGCAGCACCTGATGGCAAGGAGCAGGACATTCAGGGCAACCCCAATGTTCCAGCAGAGCTGCCAGGAAGCATGCAGTTGGGATTGCCAAATATATTGATGTCATCTTAGATGCCCAACACTTGTTATCCTTTCCAGTGGGACACACAGTGTACTACAGCTCCTTTTCCAGCTCCTCACTGATTAGATAGGCACAGGCATGGGAGAAAGGGGGCAGACAGCAGGGGGTAGGCACAGGCACCAAGGGGCAGACAGCAGGGAGGCACATGGTGGGGAGGGACGGGGGGGCCAGGGGCAGGCATTAGGGGGGCAAGGGGCAGGGGAGCAAAGAGTGTAGGCTTGGCCCTTCTCCCCTGCCACTGCTTTTCCCCACCATAGCTATAGGGTGGGGTGGGAGGGATTTAAAACAACCCTCCACTAATTAGATTCTGTATGTGGAAAATTATAATTATATTTATATGTTTCCATGTATAGAATTTAATTATTGGGGGTCATTTTAAATTCAAAGTCATCTTGAATTCAGGTAAATACAATATTTCATAGCTGCAAACACCATGTTGGACAATCATATTGTACCTACTTACCGCATGTGATGAAGGCTATAATTCCACTTTATCATAATCTGATGCAACCACTTCATACAAATATACATGTGGGATTGTGTAAGAAAATGCATACACTTTTGTTTCTAAGTAGCTGAGCACTCCAACATCCACCTGAAGTCAACAGGATCTTCAGATGCTCTGTATCTCAGGAAACCCAAGCTACTTTTTTATGAAGACTGGAATCAAGGAAGTGACACTTCATGACAGACAGCCCAGCCTGTATTCCGTATAGCAAGACAATTCAGAAGCCAGAGTATTCTTAGTAGTCATTGATGCAAGCAGTCAGAGATATCTGTGCAGTTATCACTGCATCTGATGTATTCTCCAGAAGCTGCCTGACACATTCTACTCTACTAACTGTGCCAGAACAGCTAGTAAGTCAACAAAACTCAAATTGTCTCTTAAGCATTTCAAAATTTTTATAGAGCTAAATGGTGTGACTCACATCAAGTCAGCACCCTGCCCTCCAGCTGTGCCAATGAGTTTCTTCAGTGTTTCACAAGGAAGATCCTCCTCTTTAAACGTTTATCAAAATGCTGCTCTCATCACCACAAAGCTGTTTCTGGACAACAGATGAATACCAGTTTCCACTTACTGAACCATCCACTGAGGATCCTTTCAGTGGCAGAAGAACAACAGGTACAGGTAGATCAAAGGAGATAGGAGCCAGAGAAGCTTTTCAATTAGAAAAAGCATTATGGTCTGAGTTGTAGGTATGATACGCACATTGAGTGGGTCTGTATCAGCTGCTGTCATCACCAGGGCAGGATCAGCATTACATGGAGCAGACACACACAATATGGTGGATATATGTTGATCTGATTTTAGTCGAAGCTCTGTAATGCTTTTGCTGGTAGAAGCACCTTGAGACTGAAGTAGGAAAATGCTCTGCGGAAAATGCTATGGAACCTGCCTTAACTGGTTAGTATTTGGCAGCTGTCGCCACTTTGTACCTGTGCTCTCTGTCAAAATAATATAGACGAACAAATATTTGTTGCTGATCCATAGCGGCTGCACATCTTTAAGTTTAATAGGTACTGCATGTTCCTGATGAATTTACGAATAGGAACATATTTTGATACAAGACAGACTGATGACATGCTATCCACAATTAGAGGGAACATGCAATCCCCTAGTGACAGATAGACCTTTTACATTTCCTTCAAAACTATCAGATACATGCCTCAGTCCATTCATCCTACTAAATTATGAGACAAAATTTCATGCATATGTTGTTTGCATTTCCTTTCCTGATCTAACTTAGCAGTTCTGCTTTAAATGGAATTGTAGGGTATCAAGAAATGAAAAGATTGCTTAGTTAAAGGCTTAATGATAAAAATCTCATTTAACAGCTAAATGGAAGCCTTCATTCAGGTACCAGCACACCAAGTCCAGCATATAGATGCAACTCTTGCAATCTCTAATTTATCAAATTCAAGTTGGTGACTTCTTGGGCACCAGAGAAGCAATAAGAAATGTAAATGAATATGTACAGATTGTTTTAAGAGGATGCTTTAGATTTGTGCAAGTACAGGCTGTTCCTTTAAAT